GGATATCAGCCAAAAAGGAAGGAAAATTAGATTGTGCATTAAGACCATCACTAGCCTGAAAACTAAAGTAACGGCTGAACTTGCCTTTGAGGCAACAAACACGAGAAAGAGACATGTCAAGCGCACTCCAGCGAAAAAAAAACCGGATATCAGCCAAAAAGGAAGGAAAATTAGATTGTGCATTAAGACCATCACTAGCCTGAAAACTAGCCACAGACCAAGCCGCGTCAGAGAGTAAATCATCATCATTATTCTCCAGTAGTAAGGTCGAAAGTGATAGGCCAATTCAATTGTAAATGTGGTCATCAGCAACATCACTGCAGCATTGAAGCCCACTACCAAAGCATACCCGACTGAAGAATGAGCACTCCAGCGATCCAAAACGTCTTGAATGGACTTTTTACGCTCTAAGTAACCCTTGTGGAGCGAAACAAAGGATCCATTAATCTTTTCGCAGGCAGCGTTCACAACCGCGATCTTGAAATATTGCTGCTTTCAAATGAACAAAATTGGGGCTACAATTGAATGGACAATGTTTAGTGATATCCTCCAAACGCTTAAAGAAGAGGAACTGTAATTCTTAGTCATGGCTCTGGCCGTGTGAGGGTTCAGAACCTCTTCGGCAAATGCTTTGCTTTTCTCCTTTCACTTCCGTGCTGGATGGCAGAATGCTCGGTGGTGTGACGCTTGTATGAAACATAACAATTTCTCAGAATTCCGGAAACGGAAATGTGCCTTGCAGAACCGAAAATGACAGGTTCCTGTGGAAATTCTTATATCCAAAACGGTTTTTAAAGTGGCTTTACAACGACGCCGTTTATACAAGCGCCCGCCCCCATTCGGATTAACGCTCCCCTTTTGGCATAAAATATAAAACTAGTGATAATTGCAAATTAGGAGAGTGCGTGTGATGGGGAGGGTGGGTGGGGGTAGTGAGTAGAAGTAGTAAGGGAGTGCAAAACTTGATGAGCTGGTAAGATTAAGAAATCAAAAGCAAACACTTTTATCAGTATGAATATCAGCAGCTCTCTTTATCAGTGTTATTGCTTATCATCCTACTTTACCATTCCTTATATTTAATTTTTCCTCAAAAATGTAAGAGCGTCCTGTATTTTTTTACACTAACTTTACTTACTGACTATGATCCTCAAGACATTCTTTTGCACTGCAGAATGTTCAATAAAACTGGCTAAAAACTGGGCTACGGAAAATTGAAATAATCTGAAAAGTTCATCGATTAAGGTGTCAAAGCGCCGTCGTGTATGACTTTAAACCCCAGTTGCGTGACACTGCATAAACACAACCTAATTACCTACTCAGCACTGTTGTTCAAATACACTGACGCACCCGAAATTAGTGAGATGACAAGGTAAACTTCCACCGTTGGACTTCTTGTATATTTTTCAAAAATGGTGACAACAAAAAGCGAATACAACGCTGTAAATAGCTTTTAAAAGCGAAAAGATGTATTAAATTACAAATACAGTGTGCAGAACACATTGTTCACATGATATCTACATATCCGATTATCTTAGGATGGAGCTTTTCCTATTAAAAAAATAAACTTAATTGAAAACAGTGAGAGAAACGATCCCGGGGGGGTACTCATGGGAATTCTTGGTGGGGCTGTGCCGCCCGGTTCTCGAAATCCTAACCCTAGCTATTTCAGACCATGTAATTTTCCACACCCCGTTTTCAGACCTGGCCTTTGAACAGAAATTATGTCATCATTACTTAGATTAGAGCGCAAACAAAAAATTCTTCAAATCCGGTTCCAATTCGCATATTTCTCTTTCTTTCTTACTCATTTGGAATTGAAACGATAAATACATTCATACACTCTCGTAGTTCCCTCGAAAACCATACCCGATTCCAGACCAAAATGGGCAAAGTGTATACCCGTTTTCAGACCAAAACGGCGCAAAAACCCTGCCCAATGGGACGACGTATGGGAGTAACCCCCCGGGAAAACGACAAAAAAAACCTGTAAAAAACACAAACTCGTCAATGTTTCATCTGTGAACGAGTGTCACGAAATAGATACCTGTTCCGTCAGTTCCTGGGCGAGAAAAACTAAACACATGAGATCGAGGCAAAATGAGCTAGCCAGTCCAAGGTGGCACCCAAACTGTGAAATCAAATGGCATCCAGAACGCTACCCACGGGATCTCCCATGGGACTAGAATAGTAAGCGTTCTCCTTCGTCGTCGTCGAACACAATAAACACTCGCTTTAGAACTAGACGTAATCTTAGATTAGTGGTTGCGTTTACATTTTTGTTATAATAGTAGCTTAATCTTAATACCTCCAAAAATTAAGGACACGTGGCCAAATTCAGAATTTAAAATGCCAGTATTCACCCCCCCCCCCCCC